ATCGAATTTTAAATATTTATAACATTGAGTTAGATTCAAACTCAATTGCCACATTAAAGGTGTTTTTGTTTAAAACATTCACGCGGATGTGTAATGCACTCGTTTTGGTCCGATGGTGATTAGATCCCCTTCAGATTATCTTTAGATCACCTTCCTCCCCTTAGTATAGAATAGAATAGGTTATACAACAGTTATCATCTTAAAAAAAAAGTTAGATACAAACTCAAGTGATCAAGTAAACTAAACTAAAATTAGACCGGGATTGAGATCAAACTCAAGATTGAGTAGTGAAAGCCCTAATTAGTACTCCAATTATTAGGCCTGTCAACGGGTCGGGTCTAGACCCGGATCCGGACCGGATCCGTGAAATTATTGCGGGTATGGGTAGGGATTTAATTCCGTTTCCCGGATCCGGATCCGGATCCGTTTTGTCAAACAAAAAAACGGGTCGGATACGGAATATAGTATTCCGACCCGTATTAGACCCGGATCCGGATATAAATGAATTAATAATTTAAAAAATATATATTTATCAATATAATTTGATTAGGGTGATGTATTTTAATAAAGTTAATTTGATTTCTTTTCTTATTTGGTTTTTTCTTTGCATTAGTTAGAAATTAGTTTACAAATATATTTTTTTCTCATTTTTATTAGAAATTATAAATTTTGGTAAATTTGTTCGGGTAGACCCGGATCCGGATCCGGACCCGCCGGATCCGGATCCGGAACATAGGATAAAAGACCCGTCGGGTAAACGGGTCGGATCCGGATCCGGCATAGTAATTCGGGTCCGGGTCCGGAATAATGAATTCCGGCCCGGACCCGGCCCGTTGACAGCCCTACCAATTATGGCCACCAATAACAATAGGCAATCGACTCAGCTCCACTTTCGGTTACATGAGGTGAAAAGGGAAAATAAATGGAAAGGAACCAATTGGTTTAAGCCTTTAAGGTTTAGACATAGGAGTCTCCCTATAAAAAAATTAAAAAGAAATTATCCCATCATCGTAATTATTAACTGAATCAACTGTCACCAAAATCATATCTCTCCCTCCCATTTTCTCACTCTCCCACAAGGTGGAGGAGGAGAAGAAACGCGTATAAATGCACCGACACTCAAAGTCACTCTCCAAATAACAAGAAAGAAAGAGGAAAGGAAAGCCAAAATGGGATCTCTTCCACCCCTGCAATTCATCCCAAATCCCGATCCCAATTGCAAAGATCATCAACAAGAATTGATAAACCCTGATAACTTACTCAATCTCTTCAAAACCCAGCAAAAATACCTCAACCATTTCTTCCAAAACCTTGATCTTTCTCAGACCCTTTTGTTCACTCAAACGCTCCTCAATTCCACCGGCACCATTTTCTTCACCGGCGTCGGAAAGTCTGGATTCGTAGCTCAGAAGATCTCGCAGACCCTCGTTTCGCTCGGGATCAAGTCCGGATTTTTATCCCCTGTGGATGCGCTTCATGGGGACATCGGCATTTTGTCTTCGGCTGATGTTCTGGTTATGTTTAGCAAGAGCGGGAATACGGAGGAGTTGGTCAGGCTGGCGCCTTGCGCCAAGGCTAAAGGAGCGTATTTGATCTCGATTACGTCTCTGGAGCCCAATGCCTTGATGGATTTGTGTGATATGAATGTGAATTTGCCACTGGAGAGAGAATTGTGCCCGTTTGATTTGGCCCCTGTGACGTCGACCGCGATTCAGATGGTTTTTGGGGATACGGTGTCTATTGCTCTGATGGGTGCCAGGAATTTTAACAAAGAAATGTACGCTGCCAATCATCCAGCTGGAAGAATTGGGAAAAGCTTGATCTTTAAGGTATAAAAAGTTTTTAAATTTTTTTCTGGATTTTCTACATTGCAACGTTGACTAGGTTGGAAATTTTCTGTTGAAGTAACAAGATAGATAGAAGAACGTTTTGATGGGGAATTTCCCAATTTTGTGCTTCTTCTTGACGAGATTATGAGAATTTGGTGAGTAATTTTTGTTGGTTAAAGATAAAAGACAGTTAGTGTAGGTTGGGAAGTTTGAAGCAACTTTATTTTTTGTGTTCTACAGTGGGATTTTGTGAGCCTTCTTAATTTAATGTCCAGACTTTTTAAATTTTTTTTCGTGTGGCGACTATACAATGAATTATGTTCAGATGGGTGGTATTGAAGGTTGCATTGGTTTCACTGAAGGGATATTGTTGTGAATATATATGCTTGTCGGTTTGACATTGTGAAATGGTGAATTTCTTGTTTCATTGGCAATACTATATTCTATACTTGAACTTCGAGAATGGGGTTGAGTAGAACATTTATTAATAGTCTACTGCCAAAATATGCTAAACAGCTGATGAGCATAGAGCTTTAGCTTTTTAGCTCTGGCATAGGGGATTCAGGGAAGCAACTTTTATTGGTTTTGAAGGATTGCCTTTGACTTTTACCTCTTGACTAGATGGCTTTATTTGAATGGGATGATTTTTTTGCAGGTAAAGGATCTCATGAAGAAGAAGGAAGAACTTCCAGTTTGCAGGGAGGGGGATCTGATTATGGATCAACTAGTAGAGCTAACCAGCAAAGGATGTGGATGCCTTCTCGTTCTTGATAATGATTACCATTTGTTAGGTACTTTTACTGATGGTGATCTACGGCGCACATTGAAAGCTAGTGGTGAAGGAATCTTTAAGCTCACCGTGGGTGAAATGTGTAACAGGTAGTTTTATAGCTTTTGTGTGTATGGATATACATATGAAATTGAAATGTGCTAGATCCTTGTTACTTGAATCATCCACTTGTTTTTAAGGTGTTGCCTGGGTTAGGGGAAGGGAAGCAGTGGTTTGGGAGAATGTTTAGGTCCTTAGTTTAGCTTTACTAGGTTACTGGGAGAACGAGAAAAGAATTCGAGCTTACTGGCTAAAGCCACGCAATACTTTTAAAGTCCAGGAAAGCCAATAGACTAGTTCTTGGAATTATAACAACAAGCCAGTTAAACCACATGCATGCATTACCAAAAGAATTGCTTTCAGCAAGATTATATCCCTTTAAAACTGCAATGTATTGTTATTCACTGCAATCAATTTGGTAATCATTTTTGCCCTTCAAGTAAGCAGCCAAATGGATTCACTCTGCTGTAACAGCAGTTGAGGTTTTGATTTCAACCTGCTGTTCTCTTTATCTGTACCGAGTTAGATGGCATTTGAACTTCATGGCATCTGGCTAATTTTCTATATTCATATTGGTCTGGTTGTATTAAAACGTTTGCAATCTCACGTCATAGATTCTGGATTTGTTTGGTCATTGGCAGCTCCTGGATCACTGACACTCTTGCATAACTGACCTTATTTTTTACCCTCTCCCTTTTATTTGAGCCTCTTTGTGTTTGGTTTATTTGGCTATCTGCTGATGTGCCTTAAAATGTGGATGTGGAAAATGCGGTGGTGTTTTTTAAGATAAGAATAATGCATTTGCATGACCCTTTTCACATTTCAGGCGCCCAAGAACAATTGATCCCGATGCAATGGCAGTTGAAGCGATGAAGAAGATGGAATCTCCACCATCTGCAGTACAATTCTTGCCTGTAGTCAATCATGACAATATCTTGATCGGTATTGTCACCTTGCACGGATTGGTTTCAGCTGGGTTATGATTGGTTGCTTCACTTGTCCTCCTTCTCCTCCCCTCCCATTTGTTGTGCAATTTATAGCATCGTCATTCTTTGTATTCTTTTCCATTCCTCCGGGTGAGGTCGTGTATGATGAATCTGTCTGTCTATCAATTAATACTCTCTCAGTGCCATTGATGGATATCAAAATGTCCAGTCTTGTAGCAAATGAAGGCTGTGGATGTTAGTCTAGTTACCAGTTTCCATAGCTGAATAGTGTTGTAACAAGTGAAGAATATTGAAGTTCATGATTCTAAATTTCCAGCAAACTGGACTTCCTCTTTTTTATCGGATCAAAGACCACGCTCGGTTTAGGCATGATCAGGATGGAACTATAATGATTTCCACCTTCTAAACCTGGAATAGCTGCCTCTTCGAAGATGCCAGTTCGATCACGGTTGGCTTTCATCAGATCAGGTTGTCGGTGCCAACCATTGATTTTTTCCATTCTGGCATTATACTGGCAAACCGTGGTGGTCCTGGAATTGCTGGTTTTTATTTATTTGTTCGAAAAATATCCTGGTGTATTTTGATTTGTGCCTATTGCTCCAGCACTAATTGCAGAAAATGATAAGCTATACTGCATTTTGTTTTGTTCGAAACATATCCTGGCAAATAGCGGTGTAATCGGTCCTTAGTAGTGGCTCCACAAATGAGAAAGAATTAACCCACTAACTAGTCCTGATGCAATGACTTGGAAAGAATTAACCGGTAAAGGTGTCAAAAATTGCAATTGACAAATAAAGTGCAGTGTATGAGGTGAATGTGGTGTGTGCTAATAATGAATAATGAAATGCAAATGCTTCTTGCTTCGGTTGTTAATGAATTGTGACTGCATCCATTAACTTGTTTCATGTTTATGCCCTTTTGGTTTGCACCGAGAATGTGTAACTTTTGTGAAATGCTAAAACTTCAAAGTAAGGCAACAAAATGTCTCGCTGCACTGTTAGTTTATATATTATCTGTATATATATAAACGGGATTGGATGAATGTCACATTATCTAAATTTAAAAATTAAATTTTTTTTATATGTCATGTATCTAGACTCGCTGGCACGTAATGTGCCAATGTATAAAATATTTACCTTTTTTTTAATCCACTTCCTCCATCCTACTCCTACTTTCATAGTTATTTTTCTTTTTTCACACAGTTTGATTTTCATTTTTTTTATTTCATTGTCTTATCGTTCTCCAACGGCTGCATAGAGGTCACATGGTAAATTATCTTTTATCAAGTGGTTGATATTTTGTTTAACTAGTAGATTATTCATCTGAACTGCTTCCTTAGTTTTCTGGCGGTCACAATCAAGCATAATAGTTAAAAGCACAACAGCAGAGACCAGACAGTAAATTGAGAGGTCAAAAAAAAAAACCACCAATGTATCCTCAATCCCCCACTGCTCACTGCTTCTCGTTGTTTCTCAGGTATCCGCTAGTTTCATTCTTCACCATTCAATCTCGTAGTAAAGTGGACCTGGAAACCGTGATGACTGGCCAGTGACTGTCATGGCACTGAAATTCAATGGTCAGCTTCTTCTTCCTTCGTATCCCAAATTCCCAACGACTGATCAATTGCCCATCAAAGTCTCTGCTTGTCATCCTCCATTTTCAGACCATATACATTCCCCCAACAAGGCAAAGAAGCCATTTTTGTTATCCAAAGTACTCTCACTAGCCATCGCTATAACCCTATCATCCTCCGAGTCTCCATCACCTTCCTTGGCTATCCCTGCTCTCAATGGTTCCCAGACTTCTCAGTCTCCTTTACTCCCGACAACTACTCCATTTTCTCAAGCCAAAAACTTGCCAATTGGGCTCGAAAACGGGTATTTCTGTTACAAATTTCTCAAGTTTTTGTTACTTCATTTATTGCATTAGAGAAATATGAATTGGTATTCCAATGTGGTTCAGTAGTTTCCTAGCAGTTGTTGAAAATTAGAAATGGGATCATCTCAAACACATGGTTGGTTATTTATTGGTATCGAATAATCTCACATGACCTACTATTCTGCAATTCGATTGTGTTTTATTGCTTTCTTTCACTTCAATTAGTGATGCTTCTAATTTCAACGTGATTGTTTTTTATCCTTATCCTTTCTTATTGCTCATTGGTAGTTTTGCTATCTTTTTCCCAGAAAAATCAGGCCTTGCCCCTCCATAAATCCAGGTTGTGTATCAACTAACCCCAACTCCGCTTCCTTTGCATTCCCATGGGTGATCCCTGAAAGTTCTTCACGAGATGCCATTAAGGTGTAGTGGTACATTCAAGGGATACGAAGTTCTGACTAAAGATTTGAGACACTTTGTACTTAAAGACTTGATTCTCTTTTACTGTTCTGTTTCTGATGGCAGCAATTAGAGGATGCAATTCTCATGACACAGAAGAATGTGAAGATCCAAAGCGTTGAAGACACTCCATATGGTAAGGCATATTCGAAGTTCTTTATTATATGATTCTGATATGGCCATATCAGAATCATATAATGAAGCCTTAAGATCATTTGACATGGTTTGAGTCTTTATTATCTGGAGGGAAGTGTTCTAGAAAGAGAAAAGGCGGATTATATAGTGATTTTTTTTCTTATTTTTGGTGTGAAATGGTGGAACTTTCACTGATCATGGGACATATCCAGGTAAATACCTGCAGGCTGAGGTTGATGGAGGATTCAGCCGCGATGTCTTGGAATTTTTAGTAAAAGGAGAAACAACTGTTACATATAGAGCTATGGCCACAAAGGTGACTTATGTTTACCCCTTCACTACAGCTTTTGGAGATTCTAAAGGACAAGAAGAAAGAATGAAGCAGATTGTACAGCGGCTAGGGTGGTATGCTCCAAATCTTGATTTTGAAGATTAGAATTCCACAGAGTGCATACATTATTGAATGACGGTTGAACCACAACGTATATAAATTCTTTAATTGGAACATTCAGTTAATATAAGGAAGCACTTTTTTTTTTTTTTTGGCTCTTTCAGTCTTGGGGTTAATTCTTTGAGTTTGATTCGCTTGATAGAAGCTCTTTTGGCTTGTTTCGAGTTTTGGGATGACACCTTCTTGAGTTTGATTTCATAGGCAAGCATTTCTTGCATCACTTGTAAATCATCGGTATATGATCATCGGTCTAAACAAATTCAACTTTCACTTTTAGCCATTCAATTAATGAAAACGTATGATTTTTCGATCAGAAAATGTATATTGTAATTAGTTGAATGACCATTTTGACTAAATAAAAAGGTTTAGTGGTAAAAGTAGAGAGTCCTAAATTGGTATAGCACTTGCAAAACTGGCAGTGAATCTCTACACTAACAACATGTGGCATGGAGGAAATGGAAGGCTGGTCATGGAGGAGCAGAAGCCTTTGCCAGGGAAAAAGGGGTTGAATGTTGAAACTACAGATTCGAGCCATTTCATCATTGATGCAACCGTGCTGAGGGATATATGCCCGTCATCTTCAGTTGCAACAACTTCCATTATTTTTTCAGAAGGGAACATTAACATAGTTGGATGAGTTATATAAAATTTGCAAAAGAAAGAGTTTAATAGTCTAGTCTGTGGCATACCCTTAAAAGAAGAAAAAAGGGGTTCAAAGTCTCGAAATCTTGTACACAACTGACCTTTTTTTTTTACCCTCCCATCCTTTTTCATGCCCTTTCTACCGTCAACTATCAAGCACACGACTGAAGTTAGATATGCATATAATTTTACTTCTTCTTGAACCATCAAACTTAAATTCGACCAAAGTAATACGCTGAATGGGCTGAAAGCCTTCCACAAAGGATCCTATAACAGATCCACTTAGCAACTTTTGGTCACAACTTTATCCGATTTGTGCATGCTAAGTTGCTAACACCTAAAGGTTGGAGTCTGGCAGAATATTATTATTATTTATTTTTAAAAACATCTCATGGTTTCTAATAGGACAAGCCTCAACTGGGCGTGATTTTCGAAGGATATAAAACCTAAAGGCATGGTTCACTTAATCTTACGAGTTTATTTAGTGCCCTCGACGCTACTAGCGGTGAGTGGCGTTGTTTGGGATGATTAATGGACAATAATATTGCCTCCCACTACTTGTCATTATACGTGGTTTGCTATTTTAAGTGGCTTAAATTCATATGGGTGTGTAGTGCACCCGTCTGATTCGATAGTGATTTAGTTTCCGTCGATTTTTCAATAGGTTCAGTTGGACCCTTCCATTTAGAATAAGTTAGAGTAGGAGTAGGTGTAGGTGTAGAATAAATAAGTGCCGATTGACAAAAAAAAAAATTAACGGACGGCAACGGCCTTACCCTGTTTCAACCGAACATGGAAAGAAAGCGTGATTCCAACTCTGTCAAAAATTACGCCTTCGAATAAAAGTCCTTTTAGATTTTTTTAACCACATATATAACACAATTAACTAGTGGTTTGAGCGGAGAAGACTGGTGGATTAAGTGGTCAGTCAAATTCGACTGGGCGTTCCTCCGCCGTCCTCCGCCGTTATCCCAAGCAATATGTCTCCATTGGCCGCAGCCACTAGCTTCCATGGCCTCCCCTTCCCTGAATTCCCTCAATACCCCTCTCTTCCCCGTCATCACCTTCTCTTCCCTAAACCACCCTTTTCCCCTCTCTCCCACCCCACAGTAAGCCTACTTTTCACACACACACACACACACTCGAAAACATGCACTTTAGTTTGTTTGCCTATAATTCAGTGTTACATGAAAAGATGTTTCCTGCAGACATTTCTGAAGTTCCGGCTGGTTCAGCATTATCAAACAAGGCTTTTCATTCGCCGTCCTCAGTACTCAATTACAACAAAACCGCAAGGTATTTCAGAAAAATAAGAAAAGAAGAGACATTTTCTTTGTAGTTTCCTCTGATTAATTTTTTAATATTGCATGCTGCATTGAAGAAAATGCTGGAAAAAAATTGTTGGTTTGTTTTCCTGTTACAGAATTTAGTGATAGTACCTATGATCGAGAGCTTCGGTACGTGCTTGAGCTTGCTACAGACGCTGAATTATATGAGCTTGAGCAAATTTTATTTGGTACAAGGTGCTTTTTGTTTTCTTGTTTTGCATATTTCCTTTTTGTACTGTTTTGTTATTGTTTCATTGAGCAGAAGTGTGTGATTGGAGGATGTGTTAAATTTTTGTTTTTGGTTTTGGGGGCTCAATTTTGAGTGTGTTTGCAGTTATTTTAGTCCGTTATTGAAGTCGATTGCAAAAAAGGAAGATATTGATTACTTTATGATTGGAGTGGACCCGGAGGAAAGAGATGAGTATATATCCATGTTGGAGAAGAGATTCTTGTACCTTGCTGCCGATGCGCGCTCTGTTTTGAGGTTACTTTTTAACCTTGCTAGTTGTGGTTAATGAAAATTGACTTTATAATAATGTTGTTAAATTTTTAGGAATGTGAATTTCTGTGCAATAAAGTGATTAAGCTTCGTTATTCAGTAAGTTCTCTGCTGAAATTTACTCCAACTGTTGTAATAAGCTAAGCAAAATAAGTTCTAAGTTGGGTTTTATAAAGTTGATGAACATCATAATCCCACCCTCCCTCCCTCTCTCATGTTGGACTATTCTGTTTAAATGAATAGAAGAATGAAATTTGCACGTGTATTTTTGTTTTTAGGCAAATGTTCAGTGAATGCTTATTTTCATTTGGTATTGTGAGGCCAAAATTTTGTAATGCAACCAAGTGAATTCAACCGTTTGCTGTTGCTTAATATTGAATGCTTGATACCTATAGGTTTATTCAGTGTTCTTTGGTGGAGTATGTACTGTAGTCTGGCATCATTTTTTGGTGAACTCGTGCTTCTTTGGTAATGAAGCCTGTAATCATTGCCGATCAAATTCTGTTTTCTTCTTTTCTTCTTTTTTCCTTTTTTTTTTCTCCCCAAGAGGTTTACTGGATGTCATGTTGAGCTCCTTTGAGTGACTCGAATTGGCTTGTGCTGCTGTAGGGGTTGGAGGCCTTCCTATAGGAACATACTTCTTGGAGTGAGGAAAAAGTTAAATATACCTTGTTCATCTAAATTGGCTACCGAGGATCTGGAAGCAGAGATTTTTCTTCACATGCTGCAAGACTATTCAGGGTATATAATGTGGTGCAGTTCTTTTATGCTTGCAGTTTTCAATCAACTTTCTGAGCAGATAATATAGTTCTCAGCTGATGGGACATTATTTGAACAAGCATACTTCACTCACAGTCTGCTATGGAACTTGTGGCAAGAAATTTTTTGCTGACTTCTATTCTTCTTCTTCGTTGCTTTGTAAATTCTTGTTTTGGAATGTGCCGGCTGTTCGCATCATTGCTGGCTATTAGATTTTCTGCAGAAGACTTTGATGGATAGATGCTTGTATCCTGGCAATGAAATTTAAGCCCATAAAGTACAGTGGTCTAGTTATTGGGCCTAATTACTCTAAAGCTTCTTCTCAGCCCAATATAATCTCAATACCTATATAGTTCTTAATGTTCATAATTCATGATATACGTAAAAACTCATCAGTTGAGTCTATGGCTGATAAAATTCAGAGCGGTGGATATCAGAGTTCATTTAGGAGTTGAACTGAACTGATGATTTTACTAGTAATGAGATGATGCCTTAGCCATTCAGCCATGGACATTTTTGTGGTTGAAACTATAAGAATAGGAGCTGAAATCCTGTACTGATAGCTAAGACTAAACAAAAATGAACCTTTTCTATTAGAACATATCTGTGTGTCAATTTCTGAGCCTCCGGCTGATGAAATTTTATCGATCATAAAGAAGTTATTGACAAAATATGTTCCAGACATCGTGCATTCATAGTTTCGTTTTCTCCTCGGTGTCAAAAGCTGTGGATCAAACTGGAATTCTTTTTTCTTTCTTCTTTTGAAGCATCTAGTGATTAAAATCATCTCAAGAACTAAATTCTCTTTTTCTCTCTCTAGTCTTCTCCTCTAGAAAGCAACATCTAGTTCACAATGTTATCATAAATTCCCAAGATGTAATCTGGTACAAGATTTTGAGAAATTAATCACATTTGGTTAAGAGTTGGATGAAAATTAATTTATTGCCTTGCTGGTGGGACTTTAAGTGTTTGACTTATGCACATGTTATATAATCTAATGAGATTGAAGTCCTGCAAGTAATCAATAAGTGTCTAATAATGCTTTTCTAGTTGTAAACAACAGATTTTCTTGTTTTTCCGCATCTGCAGTGAAATAAAACTATGAACACATAATTTTCTTCATATCCTCGAGATCACTATAGCATTTTTAATTACTGACATATACCAATGATTTACTTGTGGCTTTATATAGACAAGCATCTGGCAGCTTAAATGGGTCACAGGAAAATGTGAAAAATTCTGATGGCAATGGTACTTTAGAACATGGACTCAGTCAGTGGAAGGTCCAAACAGCTACTGCTTTAAGGGATGGGGCTGCGGATCTCAGATCAATGATATTGAAGGTTTTTGCTACTTGCATTAATTTGTACTTGGTTTTCTTAATGATCATTTTCCATGTATAGTTCTTAATTTGATTGTAATATTAGGGTGGCGGGGTGCTCACACTGGGCAAATTGTATGAGCTGGTGAGATTTAGTCCTAGGTTGTTTGCTGCAAATTTTTTTATCATTTGTTACCATGAGGTAGCTCATTGTTGTAGCTAGCAAAAGGATTATCTGGAAAGATGTTCCAGGAAGCTGCCAAGTATCAGCTGAAGAATGAATTGATTAAAGAGGTATTATGCTTTACTGATATTGAACAGCTTCGGATTTTGTGCTGGAATAGACACCAAAAACTGTTTCATTCTCTAAAAGCTCCTCAATATTTTGTTCCACATAAAATTTAGCATACCAAGTATATTTTACCTGTGCTGCATAAGTTGATATTGGGATCTAAAAAGATTTGCATACTACTTAAATTGTTGATGACTGTTTCTGCAGTCAAAATTTTAGTCTGTCACTTTCTTTTGGAGTATAAAGGCACATCTAATTTTACAAACTGTTAACAACTGGAGTAGTAGGCTACAAATACTTGATTGACCACCTAATATTGAGTTACTGACGTTTATGAAATAACTGGTTAATGGCTGGATTAACAAGAGACATTTTATCCAACTAAAGAAATGTATGTGATGCTATCCTTTACCTGGTGATTGTGTTATGATTTGTCAGGACAAAGGTTGGATTGCTATAATCTTTCAGCTCTTGAGAAAGAGGGCCTATAATATTTTGGTATTCTTACCAGAGTATACGCTGTTGCTAGACACATTTTTTTGTTGCTTACTCTTGTGTTGGGGACAGTATGTGTGCTACCTAGCTTGAGGACATGCAAAAAAGTGGCCTAATTGGTTTGCTAACTGGGTGCCTTTGTTAATATTTTGCAGCTTGCTGTCTCATCATCTTTTATATGTATAAGTGGTGATTGATAGTTCTGAAGTCTTTGCCAAGATGTATGAAAGTTACCTCGTGTACTTGGGTGACATCATCCTTGTGATAAAATTGGGAAAAAATTGAGGAAAAGGAAGTTGTGCTGTTTAGCATTTCAATTATGATTGAATGGATCTCATTTT